TGTAAGGAGTCATGTGTTGAGACTGTTCAAAGTGAACATTGTTCTTCCACCCTACTCAAATGCTGTTCTTCAATTCAAAATTATTGAAGGTCAGACGTTAATATATATTTATTTTTACGAATGTTATAATTAAGGTTTCTTTTAAGAAATAAATTACTTATCATCATTATTCATAAGTATAAATTATATCTAATAATTTTATATTTTATAATATATTTCTTCTTTTTTGTTTTATTAATTACATATAATTCTCCATTGAATTCAAATTTTGTAATGTCTGTATTGTATTGTATTCATAATCATTTCAATTATAATATGGAACTATCAAAAGATGATACACATGTTTGCTGTTTGTAGAACATCTGCCTCTCAAAGGTCATACCATTCTGAAGATAAACTATATGAGTGCGGTTTTTGTGAGAAGAAATATGTAAATAATTATTACTGTCCTATGACTTCTCACACAGGTCGCATTCCTATAAGTTCTAAATCAACTCAAATATTACAATCATTTTACCAATGTAGAATTGTTTTATTTTAGAAACTCAATATTTTTAGTTTTGCACACCCAAATTATAATATTCCTATCAAAGGTTATGAATAAATATCATGTATTAAAAAACACTATGTTCACTTTTTTCATTTTTTTTATAAGACTGACATTTTCATTATATTAATGTTTCATAAAAACATTAAAATATTATGGTTATATTTTATATTAGACCATCTTTAGTAGATAAATGGCTTTTAATATTGAATATCTTATAATAGTAACTCAAGTGTATTTTGGTTTTAGGATGCATTGGCCAAGGATTTGTCATCTGTGGACCAAGTTTGATCTTATTTTGCTGTATCCTTATCTGAAGACAACCATAAGGAATGAAGTGTGTGGAGAAAGACATGTGTTATGAATATTCAATGTCTAAAATTATCTTTCACAAAACTCACCTTTATCTAGCTGCATATTGTTCAAATGGTGTTTCTCAATTTAAGAATTTTTAAAGGTTGTACATAATAAAAAACTGTTTAATGCACATTACTAATTCTTGTGTTTGTTTGTCTCAGGAAGTATTTGAAAAATTTTGATCATATTAACATTGAGTCCAGTGCTATTGCAAAGTCTCTTTTACTGAAGAAAACCAATACAAATGTGGATTGTGTAAGGAGTCATGTGTTGAGACTGTTCAAAGTGAAAATTGTTCTTCCACCCTACTCAAATGCTGTTCTTCAATTCAAAAATATTGAAGGTCAGACGTTATTATATATTTATTTTTACGAATATTATATTTAAGGTTTCTTTTAAGAAATAAATTACTAATCATCATTATTCATAATGATTAAATTATATCTAATAATTTTATATTTTATAATATATTTCTTCTTTTTTGTTTTATTAATTACATATAATTCTCCATTGAATTCAAATTTTGTAATGTCTGTATTGTATTGTATTCATAATCATTTCAATTATAATATGGAACTATCAAAAGATGATACACATGTTTGCTGTTTGTAGAACATCTGCCTCTCAAAGGTCATACCATTCTGAAGATAAACTATATGAGTGCGGTTTTTGTGAGAAGAAATATGTAAATAATTATTACTGTCCTATGACTTCTCACACAGGTCGCATTCCTATAAGTTCTAAATCAACTCAAATATCACAATCATTTTACCAATGTAGAATTGTTTTATTTTAGAAACTCAATATTTTTAGATTTTCACAATCAAATTATAATATTCCTATCAAAGGTTTTGAATATATATCATGTATTAAAAAACACTATGTTCACTTTTTTCATTTTTTTTATAAGACTGACATTTTCATTATATTAATGTTTCATAAAAACATTAAAATATTATGGTTATATTTTATATTAGACCATCTTTAGTAGATAAATGGCTTTTAATATTGAATATCTTATAATAGTAACTCAAGTGTATTTTGGTTTTAGGATGCATTGGCCAAGGATTTGTCATCTGTGGACCAAGTTTGATCTTATTTTGCTGTATCCTTATCTGAAGACAACCATAAGGAATGAAGTGTGTGGAGAAAGACATGTGTTATGAATATTCAATGTCTAAAATTATCTTTCACAAAACTCACCTTTATCTAGCTGCATATTGTTCAAATGGTGTTTCTCAATTTAAGAATTTTTAAAGGTTGTACATAATAAAAAACTGTTTAATGCACATTACTAATTCTTGTGTTTGTTTGTCTCAGGAAGTATTTGAAAAATTTTGATCATATTAACATTGAGTCCAGTGCTATTGCAAAGTCTCTTTTACTGAAGAAAACCAATACAAATGTGGATTGTGTAAGGAGTCATGTGTTGAGACTGTTCAAAGTGAAAATTGTTCTTCCACCCTACTCAAATGCTGTTCTTCAATTCAAAAATATTGAAGGTCAGACGTTATTATATATTTATTTTTACGAATATTATATTTAAGGTTTCTTTTAAGAAATAAATTACTAATCATCATTATTCATAATGATTAAATTATATCTAATAATTTTATATTTTATAATATATTTCTTCTTTTTTGTTTTATTAATTACATATAAATCTCATATAAATCTCCATTGAATTTAAATTTTGTAATGTCTGTATTGTATTGTATTCATAATCATTTCAATTATAATATGGAACTATCAAAAGATGATACACATGTTTGCTGTTTGTAGAACATCTGCCTCTCAAAGGTCATACCATTCTGAAGATAAACTATATGAGTGCGGTTTTTGTGAGAAGAAATATGTAAATAATTATTACTGTCCTATGACTTCTCACACAGGTCGCATTCCTATAAGTTCTAAATCAACTCAAATATCACAATCATTTTACCAATGTAGAATTGTTTTATTTTAGAAACTCAATATTTTTAGATTTTCACAATCAAATTATAATATTCCTATCAAAGGTTTTGAATATATATCATGTATTAAAAAACACTATGTTCACTTTTTTCATTTTTTTTATAAGACTGACATTTTCATTATATTAATGTTTCATAAAAACATTAAAATATTATGGTTATATTTTATATTAGACCATCTTTAGTAGATAAATGGCTTTTAATATTGAATATCTTATAATAGTAACTCAAGTGTATTTTGGTTTTAGGATGCATTGGCCAAGGATTTGTCATCTGTGGACCAAGTTTGATCTTATTTTGCTGTATCCTTATCTGAAGACAACCATAAGGAATGAAGTGTGTGGAGAAAGACATGTGTTATGAATATTCAATGTCTAAAATTATCTTTCACAAAACTCACCTTTATCTAGCTGCATATTGTTCAAATGGTGTTTCTCAATTTAAGAATTTTTAAAGGTTGTACATAATAAAAAACTGTTTAATGCACATTACTAATTCTTGTGTTTGTTTGTCTCAGGAAGTATTTGAAAAATTTTGATCATATTAACATTGAGTCCAGTGCTATTGCAAAGTCTCTTTTACTGAAGAAAACCAATACAAATGTGGATTGTGTAAGGAGTCATGTGTTGAGACTGTTCAAAGTGAAAATTGTTCTTCCACCCTACTCAAATGCTGTTCTTCAATTCAAAAATATTGAAGGTCAGACGTTATTATATATTTATTTTTACGAATATTATATTTAAGGTTTCTTTTAAGAAATAAATTACTAATCATCATTATTCATAATGATTAAATTATATCTAATAATTTTATATTTTATAATATATTTCTTCTTTTTTGTTTTATTAATTACATATAATTCTCCATTGAATTCAAATTTTGTAATGTCTGTATTGTATTGTATTCATAATCATTTCAATTATAATATGGAACTATCAAAAGATGATACACATGTTTGCTGTTTGTAGAACATCTGCCTCTCAAAGGTCATACCATTCTGAAGATAAACTATATGAGTGCGGTTTTTGTGAGAAGAAATATGTAAATAATTATTACTGTCCTATGACTTCTCACACAGGTCGCATTCCTATAAGTTCTAAATCAACTCAAATATCACAATCATTTTACCAATGTAGAATTGTTTTATTTTAGAAACTCAATATTTTTAGATTTTCACAATCAAATTATAATATTCCTATCAAAGGTTTTGAATATATATCATGTATTAAAAAACACTATGTTCACTTTTTTCATTTTTTTTATAAGACTGACATTTTCATTATATTAATGTTTCATAAAAACATTAAAATATTATGGTTATATTTTATATTAGACCATCTTTAGTAGATAAATGGCTTTTAATATTGAATATCTTATAATAGTAACTCAAGTGTATTTTGGTTTTAGGATGCATTGGCCAAGGATTTGTCATCTGTGGACCAAGTTTGATCTTATTTTGCTGTATCCTTATCTGAAGACAACCATAAGGAATGAAGTGTGTGGAGAAAGACATGTGTTATGAATATTCAATGTCTAAAATTATCTTTCACAAAACTCACCTTTATCTAGCTGCATATTGTTCAAATGGTGTTTCTCAATTTAAGAATTTTTAAAGGTTGTACATAATAAAAAACTGTTTAATGCACATTACTAATTCTTGTGTTTGTTTGTCTCAGGAAGTATTTGAAAAATTTTGATCATATTAACATTGAGTCCAGTGCTATTGCAAAGTCTCTTTTACTGAAGAAAACCAATACAAATGTGGATTGTGTAAGGAGTCATGTGTTGAGACTGTTCAAAGTGAAAATTGTTCTTCCACCCTACTCAAATGCTGTTCTTCAATTCAAAAATATTGAAGGTCAGACGTTATTATATATTTATTTTTACGAATATTATATTTAAGGTTTCTTTTAAGAAATAAATTACTAATCATCATTATTCATAATGATTAAATTATATCTAATAATTTTATATTTTATAATATATTTCTTCTTTTTTGTTTTATTAATTACATATAAATCTCATATAAATCTCCATTGAATTTAAATTTTGTAATGTCTGTATTTATTGTATTCATAATCATTTCAATTATAATATGGAACTATCAAAAGATGATACACATGTTTGCTGTTTGTAGAACATCTGCCTCTCAAAGGTCATACCATTCTGAAGATAAACTATATGAGTGCGGTTTNTCACACAGGTCGCATTCCTATAAGTTCTAAATCAACTCAAATATCACAATCATTTTACCAATGTAGAATTGTTTTATTTTAGAAACTCAATATTTTTAGTTTTGCACACCCAAATTATAATATTCCTATCAAAGGTTATGAATAAATATCATGTATTAAAAAACACTATGTTCACTTTTTTCATTTTTTTTATAAGACTGACATTTTCATTATATTAATGTTTCATAAAAACATTAAAATATTATGGTTATATTTTATATTAGACCATCTTTAGTAGATAAATGGCTTTTAATATTGAATATCTTATAATAGTAACTCAAGTATATTTTGGTCTTAGGATGCATTGGCCAAGGATTTGTCATCTGTGGAACAAGTTTGATCTTATTTTGCTGTATCCTTATCTGGAGACAACCATAAGAAATGAAGTGTGTGGAGAAAGACATGTGTTATGAATATTCAATGTCTAAAATTATCTTTCACAAAACTCACCTTTATCTAGCTGCATATTGTTCAAATGGTGTTTCTCAATTTAAGAATTTTTAAAGGTTGTACAAAATGAAAACTGTTTAATGCACATTAATAATTATTGTGTTTGTTTGTCTCAGGAAGTATTTGAAAAATTTTGATCATATTAACATTGAGTCCAGTGCTATTGCAAAGTCTCTT